TCCTTCTACGATTAGGTAATTTCTACCAATTAGAATTTTACAAATAGTTGAAAAGAGCAGATATAAGAAGTGGAGAGGGTGATTAAATCCCTCTACTTATTAGAGATGGGCCCTCAATAAGAATTTGACAAAGAGGAGAAATAATAACCAAATTTGAAAAAGAGCTCCACCTTTGATGAAGATCTTTATCTATTCCTAATTGATTCTAATCCTTAAAATAATCCTAAATCCATATCTAAGCTTTCTTCTACTCCATTGTAAATTTCTTCAAGCTCCCTCTTCTCTTTGAGTTCTTATATAACAATCCACAAGAACACTAGAAGATTGTACTAATACAAGATAAAACAATTAAAAAACATAAAACAATAAAATAATTGCCTTCTAAGCAAGCTTAAGACTTATAAGGTAAAACTTCTAATAGACTCACCAAAATATGAACTAAGATAAACCTCTACTAATTGGAAGTTTATACTAATTCACCACAAGTGAATTAATTATGTAAATTTTTAGAAGTTATAGTTATTAATTAAATCCTAATCAATTCATTCTTTAATCTTCTTTAAACCCTCAAGTTATTAAGCAAAATCTCTATCATCAACTCATACTCAAAATAGCATTCTATCTACCATATGCATGCCCAAAGAATTCCTCATATTAACTCTTAATTTGATTTTTCTTTTTTCTTTTTTCTTTTTTTATATTAATTGTTATCTATTAACAAAAAAATCATCCAAGTATAATTTATCATCTATGAATAATTTCTCATCCATGAATAACTTCTCATCCATGAATGACTTATCAACTACTTTTAAGATTCACCCATACTTAAATTCCATCAAGGTTTCAATAATTCATCCTTTACTTAATTGTTTCGTCCAATAAAAATCATCCACCTTAAACCTATTTCTAACCTAACTTCCGTCCAGTCAAACTATCCTAACCACGTCACTGCCAGTTTGTACTGGTCGCTGGAACTAGCACTGTCGACGCCCTCGTCTGGATTCGAAACCAAGCAACACCACCATTGCAATCCATCGCAGTGACACACTATTGTAAACACAGGAAAACTTTCCACCGTCGGAGTCGGGCTCCTTTCGCAAAGATCGAAAGAAAAGAAATGGAATCACAATAAGTACCGCAATCCTTTGGCAGGAGAGAACTTCACGTCGTAACTGAGCTCTCCTCGCCTAATCATAGAACCTGAACACAGTGCTTAATTGCACCATCTCTGTAGTTCAATGGCGCTCCATCCTTAGATTCAACAGCTCGACGAGTAAGAGAAAAAAAAAGAAAAAATTGGTGAACACAGCACATCTAAGATGATCAACCCAAGCTCTGGACTGCCACAGATCATTGCCAAACCTAGAAGGGAAATGAACCCCAACGCAGCTTCCCAACATAGAAGAATGTTGACTTGGTTGCAATTAAGGCCATGCCGATCTCTTCAGCGTCGTCCAACCAAGCACTCACAACACCACTAGGAGGTTACCCTTGGCCTGAAGAAGATCTTGAATGGAAAGCCTCAACTTGCACTGCACCGCAACCAAGCTGGATGCATCGTTCCGCTAACCCGAGCCAAGGACTAGACAATGTCGAAGTTGCAACCGAGTCCAGACGTCACTAGCACCCATCATTGCCACACCGTGCAGCACCTGTAAACCTTCGTGACCACTTCGTTGAACACTTAAAGATCTTGACTAACCGTCGTAAATTATAACAAGTCATCGACACTAGAAGGGAAAAGACAACTAGCTCCGGAACAAGATTTAGCACCGCCCCTCTACCCCAGCAGCAACAGTCCAGACTTCATAGCATTCCGCAACACACCAGGAAGGAGAAAAAAACTGAAATAAAATAAAATAAACATGAGAATACTGTACCACAACACTCCAATCAGAGTAAAAGAACCCAAGCTAACCCGTGGAGTGACCAGTACTGAGAAAGAAATCACTACAATTTGGCAGCATCGCTGTACACCAACCGCAACTCGTGGAGTCTTCACATAAAGTTCAGAACCAAAACAGAAGGAACGAGACCGCAACGCCCTGCTGGGTTCCTTCACCGCAAATTGCCACCGGCTCAGAGTGTGCACTTCGTACCGACACAAGGCCCTAGTCAGCAGCCTCGCACAAAGAAGTCTTGATCATTCCGTGGCACCGTAGTCCGCCGCAATCACACATATAAAAAATATACGCGCAAGGAGAATTCCGTGGTGATCGAAGTCCAGAAATCCTTCTACCGAAAACAAAAAAAATTGAGAGCGGGGTTCCAGGCGGCCCAGTCACCTATCAACGAGGAGGCTATCAATGAGGAGGCTGCCACCATTTTTGTGCAGACTGTCGCCATCCTTACCACCTATCTTTTTCTTTATCGTTTTTTTTTTTTTTTTTTTTTTTTTTTTTTTCCTGGCTCTTTCTTCTTCCTTTCCGATATATATATATATATATATATATATTCCATTTTTTTTCTTTTGAATTGACTTACATCATAGATCCTTCTTAGATTTTAGTCTAATTAAATATTTAATGGAGATAACACTTCAATTAAAAAATTATAAATTTCTATTAGGTAGTCTAAAGAAAAGATATGTAATTTAAAATCACTTCTCAAGAACAACTCTACAAGAGATTCATACTTGCAATTAACATTCTATTTTATTTTTTTATTTTTACTATTTATCTCAAAATTCCTATATTAATTCACTAGATTGGTGATTTTAAACACCATAAGTATATTTTTTGTACTAAACACACAAGTAATTCAATTATGTGAATCATACAAAGGGGATCTAATAATTTTTAAAGATTCTAGATTTTCCAAAGGTTGTACTAATATGGATTTATGGAATCTAGTAGAGCATTGTATTAAACTTCTACAATCACAACATCATCTCTACAAAATAAAAACCAAAATAATTAAAACAAGCTAAACTAGGTAACTATGGAATTTAAGTTTTTTAATATCTTATGCTTATCAACCTACATCCTACTTAGACACTCTTTCCAACAAGGAAGGAAATACAATAGAAATAACCTAAAAGAAGAATGTTTACTTGAATATCACTCCAAGCAAGGTTTTTCTTTTTTTAGACTATTATATAGAACGACCTTATGTGGAAGTGATTCTAAACAATATTCAATGCAAAGGCATTCCGTTGTTGGTAGGAAGCCCAAGCTCTTTTTTATTTATATCTTTAACATCAATGTAGTTAAGAAATTATCGACTACTTGATTAACAACAAAAATTACTAGACAAAATAGTTCCTCGCATGCATCAAACCAATTTGAAGGAAAACTCATATGGCTGCAATGCTAGCCAACTTATCACTTATTAACAAATCACCACAAGAAAATTCTAAACAATCACCAAAAACAATCACAAGCTTAATCTAAAGGGTAGGATCAAAAGTAAAGGTTCTATTTTATCCTACTACATTCAAGTCCTAGAAGAGAAAATAGATAATTACTTCTTCTTCTTCTTCTTTGGTTCTATCTTCCAACTCTTTACTCCTTGTTCCAAACATATGTGCTAAAATTTGAATAATTAAAATAATTCAAAAATGCTAAGAAACTTACTTGAATTTTTACTCTTTAAGTGCCAAATTTCTTCTTTTAGCTCCTTGCTTATCAATCCACAACTTGTATTAATTTAAACAACAAAATAAAAAGTTTAATTGATTGCTTTAAGAGAACTCATTTTAGAATGTAGACTTTGAATTTTTTTTTTTTATTATTTTTTTTTTGTTTTTTTTTTGTTTTTTTTTTTTTTTCTTTCACTACTAATTCTTTTTTGTTTTTATTTCTTTTCTTCTTTTTTTTTTTTTCTAAAGTTTCTTGACTTAATGGTGAAATACTCTTAAATATTGTTGAAGAATTCTTTTATATACTACACTTAAGAATAGGAAGAGTATAGTGGATAGAAGATGATTAAATCTTTCTACCACTAGAGAATTTCTACCAATAAGAATTTTGCAAATAAATGAAAAGAAAGGATACAAGAGATAGAGAAGGTCATTTAATCCTTCTAACTACTAGACATGGGCCTTCAACAAGAAATTAACAAGGAAGAGAAGTGATGACCAAATTTGAAGATGAGCTCCACCTTTGATGAAGATCCTCATCTCTTCCTAAATCCTTAAAGTAATCCTAAGTTTGTATCTAAGCTTTCTTCTACCCCACTTTAAATTTCTTTAAGCTTGCTCTTCTCTTTGAGTTCTTATAGAATAACAACCCACAATAACAGTAGAAGATTGTACTAGCACAAGATAAAATAATTAAAAAATATAAAACATTAAAACAATTGCCTTCCAAATAAACCTAAGACTTATAAGGTAACCTTCTAAGCAAATATATCAAAATGTGAGTTAAAATAAACATCTACTAGTTGGAAGTTTATTTTAGATTACAACAAGTGAATTAATCTTAGAAATTTTGGTTCTTATTTAAATCTTAATCAATTCACAATTAAAACTCTTTAAATCATCCAAATAGTCAAACAAAATAATAAGTCACTTATTATTTATAAATAATAAGTCACTTCATAAATAAACAAATAATAAGTCACTTCATAAATTCCATACAATTATAAAATCTTTGGTATTATGATTTTATTTTATTTTGTGTATTTATTTATAATCTTATTTTAATTTTTATTTAATTAAAATTCATCTATTGACAAAATCTCATCTTTGGATGATATTTCATCCTTGAATAACAATTCATTGACATACTTCATCCATTTTTAAAATTTCATCCTCTATTAAAACTTCATCCAATTTAACTTGTCCAAATTCTAAATTGACTAAACCCTAATTCATTTAATTCCTAACTATATTCATGTAAATACACTTAGCTGGACCTAATAGAAATTCATCTGTCCGAGAACCTCATTGAATCAGAAGTAGAACTTGATTTGGTCACTTTGTGGCACTGAATCGAATCCTCTCTTCTCTTTGGCTGAAGCCTTGAGTGCTTCCTTTGTCCTCGTCTACAACAAAAAAATACTCAAATGGCATATATCAATGATAGAACTCCTCCAGGCAAGCTTAGTACAACTGTCAAATATCCGCCTTTATCATGGTTTTTCTAATTCAATTGGAATAGAGTAATCAGAATGATTGAAAGTATTGGGCATTGGGGTCAACAAGGACACCAGATTTCTCCTTTGATGTAATCAGAATCCCGCCGCATGTCTGCTCGGACAGGCTCTCAAAGAAGTTTTCCAGCTTGGGACCAACCACTGTTGAGTTTGCAGTAAGTTGTGGAGCATCTACAGTTTGCTCGTTCCATGCCTTAGTTGTTCCGACCCTGAAACTTCTTAGACACCGAACTAGTGTCCGTGCCCTGATATTGTTTCGATGTACTTGATTTCCAGATTGCAAAGCAGCTTCTCCCAATACCACGACTACCGCGCTGCCTAACCAACCTATCCACACCGTTGAGCACAGAATCATACACCCAACTTTAAGAAAAAATGATTGGTGTACTCCACACACACATAATGTGAGAGCTACAGAAGATTCAGAAGCAATTTGTTGCAGCAAGGTTCGATGATGGATGGCATTGGTTGCAAGGATTAAGATCACATCCGGAGGCCTACCTTTGGACTGTGCAATGATAGCTTGCTGTCGTGCTGTCCGCCTCCAGCAACAAAAGAAAACAAAAAAATATGACCAACGATTTGGAACAGCGAAACAGCAATGAGAATCTGTGATCAGCTCGGCAACAAGATGTAAGCAATAAGAGGAAAGAGAACACAATATCTAGACAGAACAACATCGCTCGCCACTGCAACCCTCCACGCGATGCGCTCGAGCCGCATTCGAGCCACCGGCAATGTCGACGACGTCCGAAGAAGAAAACAAACGGCAGTCGATAGCAACTGCAACACCGCCGCATACTACGAAGAAGCACCACTAGAGAACGACGCTCAGAACAAAGAACAAAAAAACTTGATTTAGAGCTAGACCCCTGACACCAGCTTGCTCTTATCACTTGCCGCATGACGTCACACGTCAACAAAACTGCAAGCCAACCTCACCAAGATTAGCAACATAAAAACCAAAAGTTCAATGGATAGTCGCTCTTTGCACACCATGCAAGAAAAGAAAAAAAATGAAAAATGTAACCCAGCGTCCATTGAACTTGACCCTCCGCAAGAAGAACAACAAGAGAATCAAATCAACAGGTTTCAACTGTCGTCACACTAGCTCGTGGGAATTTCAATCCGCAAGAATGAATAAAACTAAAGGAGAAGAAAAAGAAAAAAAAAAAAAAAAAAAAAAAAAAACTACAATCCATTGCATAGCATAGCGCAACACAGTAAAAATACTTCTGAAGTGCTGGAAGCCGAGACACTTCTGAAAGATTTAAGGACAAAAATTGGAGAGACAGGAGTCTGGGGCGACCTCGACCTCTATGGGCAAATAGCCTGTCGGAAGTTACGAGCAACCTCTTGCCCTTGCGTTCATCTTTCTATTTTATTTTCTTTTTTCCTTTTCTTTTTGCCTTTTGCCTTTTTCTTTTTTTTTTCTTTTTTTTTTTTTTTCCCCTCTTCTCTCCTACTCTTCTATTTTTCTTTTCTTTTTTCCTTCTATTAATTTGCTTCTTTTTTTCTCTCCTACTCTTCTTTTCTTTATTTCTTTTTTTAACTTATTATTTTTTATTTATTATTTTATTATTATTATTATTATTATTATATATGTATTTTTAACTATTAATGATTAAATTTTATTTTTTTCTTTTGACAACAAGGACTACTTCCATTTGACCATCATCTAATATTAACTACAAAAAAACATTTTCATTATAGAAATTTGTCTTACTAAATTCTATCCAAGGTCGAATATTTACAATTACCAATCTATTTTCTATTTTTTCTAAATATTCTACCATTAATTCACAAAATCTGTGATTTTAAGCACAATAAGTATTTTTTTATACTAAATATTCAAGAGAATTAATTCAATGATTTATAAATAGCTTAATAATATTTAATCTAATTAAATTTCCTTCTATCTAATTTTTTTAGGATTATTAGGGCTAAACAAATTTAACCCTCATATAGACTAGATTTCTTGTAATCTTGATTTTTTCCATAGTTAGTCTAAGATTTTGTCAGTCATATAGAAATCCATAAGTTCAATATGTCCAAACTTTTATTGGTAAGTGCAAGAGCTTTCATACATGCTGCGAAAGAAAGATCAACTTTTGTAATATATACCACACCTATTTTTGATAAAAATTTCAAGTGGCATTCCAAAGAAATACTAAGATTATTAAGACATTTTTGAAAAGAAGAATTTAAATATTCTTCTAAAGCATCATTCCTATGATTGTTTGATAGATCTTCAAGAATAAATTTAATTACCATTTGGCCCAATTTATAGCCTATTACAAAATAAGTTGGTTGCATTTAAGAAGTACATTGATAAGAAGTTGGATAAAAACTTCATATGCTACTCTAAAACTTCAACAGTGACTCTTTTCTTATTTGTAAAAAAAAAAAAAAAAAAAAATGTTAGATCTCTATAAATATATGTGGAATATCAAGAATAAGTATCTTTTACCTTTGATTTCAGAACTTTTTGATCAACTCAATTAAATAAAAATTTATATTAAAATAGATCTATAAGGAGCATACAACTTGGTATGCATTAAAGAATGAGATGAATGGAAGATTGTATTTTGAACCAGATATGGACATTTCAAATATAATGTCATACCTTTTGGACTCACAAATGCACCGGTTGCTTTTCAATATTTAATGAATAGTATCTTTCATGAGTTTCTTGATGCCTTTGTCAACTATTACTTTGACGACATCTTAATCTATTCTAAGAACTCAAAAGAGTATAAACTTCATATTTGTTGTGTATTACAAAAACTAAAAGATGCAATATTATATACTAAAATAGAGAAGTATATATTTTATACTATTCAAATTGATTTCTTAAGGTACATCATTTCAAATAATAACCTTATAATAGATCCTAAGAAGGTTTAAACTATCTTAGTTTAAAAGATTCCAAAAATAATCAAAGATGTGTAATAAATTTTATGATTTGACAATTATTATTGAATCTTTATGAAAGACTTTTTTTAAGTTACTGCTCTTCTTATATATCTGACATTGTAAAAACAAACTTGAATGGAACAAAGAAGTTCAAGTATCTTTTAAAGCCTTAAAGCCATCATATATTTTTGCACCAATCTTGTATTGCATCAACTTCTCTAAAGCATTCTTTATAGAAATAAATACATCAAACTTTGCTATTGATGTAGTGCACTTATAAGTAAAAGCAAATAATAAACTCCACCTAATAGCATCCATTTTAGAAAAAATTTAATAGCCAAAATTAACTACGAGATCCACAAAAATGAGTTTCTTGATTTTAAGCCTTAAGATATTTTTAAGTTTGAAGTCAAGCTCAATCTACTCTATTTCAAAGGATAATTATATATTCTAGAAGATAAAGCATAATTATGTATTTTTTAAGCTTATCATGAATTTCTAGTAATTCAGCATTTTAGATATAAGAAAACTTTGGAACTAATATCTAAAATTTTTTGGTGGCTTGAAATATAGAAGGTAATTAAAGACTTTTTACAATCATGTGAGATTTATTGAAGATTAAAAAATCCTTGTTATTGACCTTGTGGACTTCTTTAGCCATTATCTATTTCAAAACAACTACAATCTTTTATTTTTATGGATTTTATCATAGATCTTTTAATCTCAATTTCTTTTGAATATATATTTATGATAGTAGATAAATTCAATAAGATAGCTCAGTTTGTACGATGTATAAAATCTATTACAAGTGAAGAAACAGCTAAGTTTTTTCTTAATAATATCTATTATTATCATGGATTATCAAGGAATATTATATTGAATACAGGGACATGATTTATATCAAGATTTTAGAGAACTCTTTTCAAGATTTTAAAGATACATATAAAACTATCTTTCATTTTTTATCCTCAAATTGATAACCAAACAAAACAAGTGAGTCAAGTTTTAAGGTGTATCATTAACTACCAACAAAATAATTGGACAACTCTTTTATCATTGGTAGGATTTACATATAATAAGATTATATATTTTTCTATTCAACAAACACTTTTCTTTATCAATTATAATTATCATCCATGATTTAATACTTTTAATTTTTTAAAAGTTGATAATCTTGTAGCAAAGAATTTGACAAATTATTTGTTAGAATTACATGCAATAATATAGGCACAAGTAAAAGAAGCTCAAGAACAACAAAAGTTTAATGTATATGCTTATTGTAAGGAATAACCTCAATTTCATATTGGCAATAAGGTATGGTTATTTTGTCATATTATTCAGACTATTTGCCCTCATGACAAATCAAATTATCATAGACCTAAACCATTTTTTATATGTAAAAAAATTAATTCAATTACTTATTGATTTTACCTACTAAAAGTTATGAAGATCCATCTCATGTACTATGTATCTCTTCTTGAGTCACATAAGATATTAAATATACCCAGAAGACAACAAATACCATCTCTTCTTATAGAAGTAGATAATAATTAAGAATATGAAGTTGAAAAAATTTTAGACTTATGGCAACACCAAAATAGGTTGAAATATCTTATTTATTGACATGTATATGATATTAGTAAATGCACATGGAAGCAAGTCAAGAATCTTACAAATGCAACAAAGAAGATTAATATTTTTTATTGATAACATTCATTAAAATGAAGATAACGGATAGCAAATCTTTGCTATAAAAGAATTGTAGTTTAAAAAAAATTACATTTGATATTTTTTCCTTATTTGTAGTTTTTGTATATTTGTATTGCTAAAGAGATGGAGAATCAATAGCTAACAAATTCAACTAAAGAACCATTTTTTATTGATTTATTGAATAAGACATTGTAATTATTACACCCATCAAGATAATATAATCAAGATAAAGATCTTCAAGAGGAACATGTTCTTCCTCAAATAGATGGTGAGATACAATATATTTGGTATAACAACCTTTGAAGAAACGTCCAATGTTAAGTGATTTTATTAGAAGTAAGAAAAACTCTTAATGATATTATAAATATTTTATTTGATAGAAGTTACCAAGGCTTCAATAATGATTAAATAATAGGATGATCTTCTTGCCTTGGAATGTGATATTATTGATGGCTGAGAGGACCTATCAACTATCTTTGAAGAAAACAAAGATCAAAGTATGTAGCAAATATAATTTGCGGCATCTTAAACTTACTCAACATGTGATCACCATTCTTTATAGAACTCATTCTTAAAAGGAGGGATAATGTCACAAATATACATATTTACTCTAATAATTATTTAGATGTTATGAATAGATAAAAGTATGTTAATTTAATAATATCTTATAGAAAAGCTTTTTAGAAGCTCTATGGACGTGATTTCATCCTTATTTATATTTATTGGTGATTGATAGGTTAAAAACTTAGCCAATAAATTATCCACATGTTACACATGTTAATAACTTGTTGTGTAAGCTAATAATGTGGCGCTTATATCAAAAACATGCCTTGCAAGTTAAAAAATGAGTCTTACATATTGAGTACATATTAGAATTCTTAAAAAAAGTCACCACATAGCTTCTAGCTAGATAGTATATATATGGACAGAAGAATGAAGCCGTCTTCAATCTTATCAATGCCTTTTTAATCATTAATCTTATTTCAAGACTTTTTAGTCTTCTTATCTTTGATAATAGTTATTTCAGTTTCAATATTATATTAATTTTGAATGAATATCTATTCTTTTTGAGTTATATAAGAGTGTATTGTGAGAGCCAATTTTTTTGATTCATAATATAATTAGAAAAAAATATTAGAATAAATCAATAGAATTACAAAGCAAAAATTTTGAATGTAGTTAAGTAGGATAAATTATCAAAGAAAATATTCATTTAAGTATTAAGAATTGAGTACAATTATAATAGTGGATAAAAAAAATTATAGTTTAAAATTAGATTAAGTAGAGACAGCAATGTCATATTCATAAAAGAGTGAAGAAAGGAATAAATGATAGAAAATATATTATTTAGATCTTTAGAATTTAAAAAATATTAAAAATAATAAAAAAATTAGACATATTATTTTTAAGTAAGAATAGAATAAAAGATACTTTTAAAAGGGTTCTTAAAAATCTCTCATAAGGATGTGTTGAAGACTTCAAAAAAAAAAAAAAAAAAAAAAAAAAAAACACACACACACACACAAAAATACAAATAAAAAAA